ACCGGCAAATAAACAAAAGTACACGCGTCAACATTAGAGATGAAGACGCAAGCGATTTTGCGATTATTTTAGCCAAAATAATTTCCGATTATTACTTCATTCGCAGTCATTTCGTGTATCTGCAAACATGCATAAAAATATGAAATAACCGACCAAACCAAATCAGCATTCACTTTAACAAAATGAGATACCATGGGTCCATAGAAATGACAAGTTTTAAATCAATCCCAATCGCCCTATGTCAACTAAGGAGTGCAAAAACGATAGTTAATGATGATGCCAATGATTTTCACTTAGTCCTGATTTAAAAAAGTTATTCCTATCCACTAATTTGACTCAGGATCATTCGGTTTCGATTTCCTTCGGAGGCGTTGATGAGAACCAGGCGGCGTCGAAACTTCAGTTCAACCTGAAGAAGAATACGTTTTTGGAAACAAGGCTGGGTGAACTTTAAGAGCATCGTAAGATCTACACATATCATTGTGGGGAAATGCAACTATCTTTCCTTCATCATCTTATTTCTTAATTATTTTTAATTATTATTTTCTTTATTTATCACTCTATTTATAGATGTTAGACTATATTATTATTATATCCCATATTTTATACTTACATTTATATATAAGGCTAAAAGATCGCCTAGAAACTAAAGGTTGAGTGAAATTCAACCATAGAATCGAAGTTCTCTTCAATTCCTACAAGCCATCAATGTGGAAATTATCGTATGAAAGCAGTGCAATGCAGATGCTTGAGCTTGAATAGATGCGAGTTTCATTTTGACTGCTCGCATTACTCGATTTAGCTAACAGAGTGCCTAAGTCAATCAGGAAAGCGGATGATAGCCGATCTGATTAGTCGGTCTTCAACATTTTGCAGACGATCAGAAATCTCAGAGGCATTTTGAGTACGTCTACAGTCGCTTGCTGCGATTGGCCGAGAGCAATTGTGGACTGGACATTCAATATTTATTGCCCAATTCGGGTAGAGCTACATCTTGGGGCATCCTTAAAGCGTGGAAGGTAGACATTGGACTGACGAACCAGCAAAATGCCAAATCCTCTCGTGTCCACGGAAGCCACGATTTTAAATGTCTCTGGAGCAGGCGAAGAAGGAAATCACTATTTCCGACCTGATTAGGCAACGTTAGCATAAATGCCTCTAACATATGCCATGGTTATCAGAGATCCATTAAAATCTAGATTCAGTAACTTCAACGGAGGTAAACTTGTTATGTTAATAGAAGTGGGTTGATCTCGTTGTCGCAACTTGGTCTTGTTGTCAGGGCGACTTAGTTGAACGCACCTAGTCCGAAGTCGTCTGTCATAGTAGTTGTCATGATTCCCAGCGTCAGATAGTGGACTTGGTACATTCAATACCAGACCATATCAGAGGCCACAACATCTTGTTATGTTAAATCGTTACATATGAGCTTAATCATCATAAGTCTGACAGTTGAGTTAAAGAATTATTGATAGTCGTTAAAATAAGAATGGCGTGTCACTTGTCCCAGTGGCTGGGCTCAGATTAACGTTGGTTCTTTTATATTGTCGTTGATGCCGAGGCTTGTGATTATGGTTTTCAATGCATAGCCATTTGGCTCGGAATCCCAGGACCCAACTGAACTGTTTCAGAAGCCTCCACAAGTCTCCTAAATTGTCAAATTTTTCCTTAATTTATAAGTAAGTCTTCGAGATGACTAGTAGATTCGATATAAGAGCTGTATTCGCTCTATTTCGTTTAAAGCGATGCAGGATTGGTTGCCTAGTCTTCCCATAATCACACAAATAGGCCTCAAGTTTACATTCATTTAGCATTTGTGAATAAAATTTGGGTTTCAATGAATCTCTTGTTTCATAATTGTTGAGCTTACTTCCATTTCGAGTGAAAGTGTTGGGTGAAGAGACACGAAGGTCGGTTCCACCAGAAGACGACGCCGGATTACTCCTGACCAGCTGTCGATTAGCTTTACTGGAAGATTCATGCTGACGCTGTTTCCGAGGCAATCTCCTTCGATT